AAATTGAAACAACAAGAAAAAAAATCTAGATAGAATTCTCCCCACCTCCAGCAGGACTGTACCATGACTAGCTTGTGTGAACAAGGGAGAAGAGAAATAGAGAGGGAGAAGATAGAGAGAAACCTAGGATAGGTGGAAAGAATGCGAAAAATGTGAAGAAATGATGAGAATTTTTATCATTTAGTTAAAACAAAATGACTCCAGTTTCTGAGAGATGTTCAGTAGTATGTGGGGAATGCCTAAAGCTTCAGACATAGATCAGAGACATGAATGTATTCGCCAAACGTTGAAACTTGAGCTTATGGGTATAGCTGAGTTTTTATAACACAACTATAATTAGTATGAACAAAAGAAGGCTAGAACGAGTGAAGGAGCTGAAGAAGAAGAAGCCAGGACAAAAGGGTGCTCTGGAGATGTGGAGAAGCCTGAAGACAAAGGAATTAAGTGTGTCAATATGTAAAATAAAAATTATACCTGTGACATATCATTTGATATTTGGTGACCTCTTTGGAAGCATTTTTCAGAGTAGGTGGGAGGGACATCAAACTCCAATGAAAAGGAAATGAAGCATGAGAAAAACACAAGAGACAGTGCATATCATTTTTTTGTTGAGAATTTTGCTTATGAACAGAGGATGAAAAAGTAGGGAGGTAGGCCAAAGCATAAATACACTCAAGTATGTTGTTTTATTTCTAATATGAGAGATATTAAACATATTTGAGTTAGAAGAATCCAAAGGTGTGAGAGGAAAGATACAAGGGTGAAGATTTGGCTCATGAAGCCAAATCTTGGGGAAAAGGATGTTGATTTCCTTCCTTAAAAGATAGGCGCATAATTAAAGCAACTACAGGAAGAGGCAGCTGGCCAGGCCTACCTAGGGGAGTAAAGAGGAAAGCTGAGATGTGCCAGTGCTTACCTTCATCACCACATACCCCGAGACCTTGGGAACTAATCCCCATGTCCTCCTTATTCTATTCACATTCAGCCTATGTGTTATGGCTTCCACTGAGATGTGTCCTCAAAACCTCACACAGTTATAGGTGGAGCTTTTCAGAGGTAGCTCAAATTATAGTGCGTAACACTGGGATTAAGGGTGTGATGCTAGAATTAAGGGTGTGAGATTACTAATTTAGATTGGTTTCGCATAGTTTGGGTATGGAAAATGGGAAGAGCCAGCTTGGATGTGAGTGGCACCCCCAAAAGGTGAGAAGCCTGGAGGAGATAAGAGGGAAAAGTAGACTGTAGCCTCCCTGCTTTGCTGCATTCTGCCTGCCTCACCCTGCCATGCGCTGTCTCTCCTCTTCGATGCTCTTCTGCCACGTTGCCCTGCCTTGGAGCCAGCCAACTATGGACTGAAACCCTTCCAACCTGTGAAGGAAATAAAGTTTTCCCACTTCAGTTTGTTAAGTATCAGGTATTTTGTGCCAGCAACAAGAAAAGTAACTAAAGCAGATTTTTGTACCAGGAGTGAGGCTGTTGCTGTGACACTACCTAGTCATGTGCTTCAGTAAGCTCTAAAATTGGCTTGTGGAAAAAATTAGGGAAGGTTTGAAGAAGCAGCCACATTGAGCTTGATGGGAGATTATGGTTAGCGCTCAGAAGACCACAATCCTGATAGGAATGCTACCAATAAAGATAAGGCTCAGGTTTCAGTTAGGAACAAGGATTATGTTGGTTGTTGGACTCCAAAACATGTGTGTTATGCTTTGGCAATAAATTTGCTCTTGTTCAGCAACCTGGCCTGAGACTGTGAAGGGAGCTAATAGTTTAATTAATCTGGCAAAGAGATTTTAAGGCAGTCTAATGTTGAGATAGTGGCATGGCTAATACTGAGGGAGTTTAGCCAGATCTATGTTGTTAGTCAAGAGCAAAAGGTCCTATAGAATTTTAAAAGTTTAGAGTTTGGCCATAAGAAAATCTTTGGTAAAGTTAAAGCCTGTAGAGTTGGAACAGAGGAGAAATTTGTTGCTGAAAAGACTATGGAAAAAATGCCAACTATTTTAAAAAGGGACAATAAAAAAGACAACTTGAGGACATCACTAGAATAAGCAAAACTTCATTCTTTAAAGACTAAAAATTGCAAAGATGAAGGAATTTGCTTTGAGGAGATAGCCCCAGAGCACCAAGTTCCAGAATGACAATTGCTGAGGGAAGTTGCTCCTCAGGATTGTTTCATAGTCACTTGAACCCTACAATCAAGAGAGAAGGAATCCTGGGTAATACTCCAGAGGTGGCAGAACTTGGTGTCATCCACATGGTGCTAGTTTTATATGCACACATAACAAAAGAGTTGTCAGTTCAAGAAGGCTTTCATCCAGATTTCAAAAGGCCTCAGGGCCAGGCAGTGTTCCCCTGCAAGGGCAGTGTGTGAAGTTCAGCGTGAAGCTAAGAGTGCCATAGAGATCCCCAAGGCTGAAGAAGCCAAGAATGTGTCATAAGCGAAGCTACAAGGACTGAGCAGAGCTGGCCCAAAAGAGAAGCCATGAGAGCTACAACCACCCACAGTGCCATAGAGGTAGAGTCCATCAGAGTTTACATCTTGCCACAGATTGCCCAGATGCTGGATATAGAACAATGGGACTCAGTGTTTTCCCTGTTGGATTTTGGAATTGCTTTAGTCCCATTCCTTTATAGAGTCCTACTTGTAATGGAAATGTTATTTTGTGCCATTATCTGTTGGGTTTAACTTTCTCTTCATTTCTATAGGGGCTCAAAGCTAAGAGTTTGCCTTAAATATCAGAGGAGATTTTGTTGTGTTTTTAAAATTTAATTTAATTTTATGTGTTTGGTACAGAGTCTCACTACACAGTTTGGATTCATAATGATCCTCCTGTTTTCAGTCTCCCCAGTGCTGGGATTATGGGTAAGTGGCACCATATCAGGACTCAGTCGCTGGCTCAGCATTCCTGGGGGTGGGCCAGAGCAGCATGTGGTGCCAGGGATCAAACCCAGGTCCCTGCTCTTGCCTAAGCAGGTATTTAGTCTGTTGATCTATCTTGCTGGCCCTCAGAGGAGATTGTGGTCTTGGATTCTTCCACAGTTTTGAAACTTTTAGGACTTTGGCAACTCTTGGAGATGGAATTTTGCACAAAGAGATGTGCATGAATCTTTCAAGGACAAAATGTATCTAGATGTCCTTCTAAAACTTCATACACTCACAGATGGCAAGTTTTGAAGGTAACTGGATTAGTGTGTCTTGCTCGAATTAAGGGTGGGATGCTGGGATGAGAGGATAGATAAGGGAAGGCTTAACTTAGGTGTGGTTGTTACCAGCCAAAAGGCTGATAGCCTGGCAGAGATTAAAGGCAGAGGCAGGGTTGCTGCTGGAGATGCTGCTACTTGCTTCTAATTGCCTTCTGCCTGCCACACCATGAACTAGTTCTCCTCTTCATTGCCCCTCTGCCATTTCTCCCTGCCTTGGACTAGCCAACTATGGACTAAAATCTTTACAAACTGTGAGGTAAATACATCTTTCTTCCCTTAATTTGTGAGTGTCAGGTATTTTTGTGCCAGAAATGAGAAAAGTAACTAAGACACCATTCATGTGTCAGTGCTGAGGTTCCTATAAGATACCCAGAGTAAGTGTTAAATATACACCTGGTAGCAAGAAATGTCCTTCAAATTATCCTGTGTCACTCTGATCTGGAGTGTCTGCCCTGGTGTCTGTTTCCTGGTTAGCCTTTCCAGGTCATCTGGAAGCAGAGCTGTGCTGGCTTTGGATTCAGGAAGCTGATTTGGAACAGCAGCCTGGGTCTCTGGATCACCGCTGGGGCATGGAGAAGCGCTGTCTCTAAGTGAACAAAGTGGAGAGTGCTTTTCAAAACGATAAGCTGCAACCTGAAGTAGCAGCACTTTCATAGTGCCTCGTGGTACAGTAGAAAGCAGCCGCTAGAATGTTTTGAAAATAACCTGCAGAGTGAAAAAAGTTAATTACACATCTACATTGTTTAATTTTTTAAAAAGGTACCCATTCAAATGTACTGACATGTACTGTGGTAATAAGTGCTGCTCAGTAGAATATCTATCAAGGGCCTGCCAAATAGCTCAGCGAATTAAAGAGCCGCCAGGGTCCCATCCCTGGCTGGCCATGCAGGCCCCGCCCCCGGAGCGTGCTGAGAGGGCAATTGAGACTGGGCGGAGTGGTGCACACCTGCAATCCCAGCTCTTGGGAGGCTGTAAACAGGAGGATCACTACGAGTGCGATCAGGTAGTGAGACCCTGAACACCCTGTAGACCCTTCCCTAAAAAAACAAAAAAACAAAACAAACAAACAAAAAACCCCCCTATATCAAATATATATTTTTACAATAACATTAATTGTCTTTCAAGGTACATTTATCCATGAATGAATAATTGTGTGTGTGCTTTTTTTAAAGAGACTAGCTATTTTGAGAGTAAGTCTCTGCATATTTTCCCATAATTACATGATTTAATCGCTGGAGAAGTTAAAATTGTCATATGTGCACATTTTAAAACTTGGGAATGTAAGTTTCTAACCTTCATAAAGATATTCCAAATAGATGAAATTTGGTGAGATTCAAGCTGTTAAAATTGTAAAACACACAATTTATAAATAGTATCAGCTTGTACAAACAGCTAGTTTTCAAAACAGTAAATAGATTTCATCGTGAGTTAAACAATTAGTATAAAAGTGAAAATTCAGTGTCAGGTTTAGTAGGGAAAACCAGTGCTATTAGTATTGTATTTTATGTACTGCATTTTAAACTAATTTCTGGAGAAGTCTTTCTCCCAGGATAGTTTATGAGTTCAAATTTAGAAATAAACCCAATTTAAAGCAACGTCTTCAAATGACTACTTTAAAACATTAAAATAAAACATTAAAATATTATTCTCATTACATTTTAAAATAAGTTTTTTAGTACAAACATGTATTTCAAATATAAAGATTTTTCTTTTTGGTGCTTTCATACTTCTGCTTAGGATTTTATAATGTTATGCTACATTAATATTTAGCGCGTCAGTGCCCTGATGTCTGTCAAGCACTTGATGAGCAGTAGCCAAATATTTTGGGAATCCTCCGGCTTTAGTAACTGTATTTTTCCAGGTTAAGCTCCAACCGCTCAGCTAACACGACTGCTGCTGCACTGACTCAGGAAAGCGAGCCAGTTCCCTCCTGGGGAGCCTTCTGCCACCGCTCGCAGACGGCACTGCTCCCGCCCCGGGCCCAACCTCCCGCCCAGGTCGCCGCCCCCAGCTGTACGGATTTTCTGGGTTTCGGAGTCCGCGCTTGCAGTCAGTCCCGTGACGCACGCGCCGGAGGTCTTGCCCCAGAAGGAGGCGGACGGGAAGCTGCAGTCGGAGAGGCAGCGGCCTAGGGGCAAAAGCCGCAGAATTTCCAGGTACGGGTGGCGGGAGAAGCCCGGTCTTCAGGTTCGGTTCCAGAGGGCCGCCCGGGGCGCTGTCGCGGGAGGACGAAGCCTGAGCCCCGCGCCGGGACGCAGACCGGAGCCGGGCGCTGGGCAGGAGCAGGCGTGGTCCCCACCCTCTGGCCGACGTCGCTCTCGGGTTAGCCAGTCAGCGAGGGGCGAGCCTGGGGTTTGGTGCTCCGGGTGGCTGGGCGGGCGCCGAGTGCGGAAGGAAGCCTGCAGCTTCGTTCAGGATTTTCTGCAGTCTTGGGCAAGCTCCTCGAGGTGCTGGGTCAGTGCTGCCTGCGGGCACAATTCCATCCTGCTTCCCTGCAGCTTGTTTTCTTGAGTTAGTATAGCAGCAGTTGTGTTAGCTGAGCTGTTGGAGTTTAAGCTTGAAAATTAAAGTTACTAAGCCAGGGGATTCCCAAACTATCTGGGCTATTACTCATCAAGTGTTTGACAGACATCAGGGCACTGACGCGCTAAATATTAAGGAGGGGTTATGGGCTGGGACTTTCCGCCCGTCCTCCTTTCCTCTATCCTTTTTCCTTCTCCCTCTTCCTCTTTTCTTCTTCTCCCCCTCCCCCTCCCCGTCCCCCTCCTCGTCTTTCAACCTTTCTTCATTGCTTTCTTTTAACTTGAAGAAACATGTTTCAGCTCCTCAGGCTGTGGGTGCAGCGGCTCCTGTATTTACTTTAATTAGTTCCCATCTCCTGCTCCTCACCCATTGGTCTCCTCTCCCACCCCAGTGCTGAGGGCTCGAGGCCAGACTGCCTCCTCCATGGTGCTCCAGTTTCCCTGCCTCTGGCCCTGTGGAGGTGGCCCTGCCTTCCAGGACCTAGAGGACACCTTCCCAATCCTCCCAGCACTCCCCTGATTGCAGGGTCACAAACTCTTTCCCTATTTTTTTCAATCCCCAGGTATTGGAAATGCCCCAGTTCTAACTAAGTTTCTCCTCCTGTGCCTCTGGTATCCCTATGTTCTGGATAATTCCATGCAGTCACGTAGAACATCCTGTAATGAGGATGCTGTTGACTTCCACCCCCTTATTAGAAGCTACATATCTCTCTGCCCCACCTGTATTTCCAAAGGTCCCTTAGCTGTGTTTGTTATAGGTTCATTCGGTATGGTGTGCATTTCAGACAGGGTGGATCACCTTTCCCATTCCGAGCTGGCTCCCCATGTACACTTCCTACAGTTCACCACCCACAATAAGTACGAATTTAGCTAGGAACCTTGTGACCGTCTTCTCCCTGGTCTCCTTGCTTTTCTCAGCTGACATACTGCCTGGAAATTCCTTCTTCAATGAGTGTGTTGCCTCGGCATTAGCAGTCACTGGCGTATGGTTCTACTTATTCAGCAGCCTTCTCTTCCTTATTCCACACCACATGATGAACCATGTCATTTTTTCTAGAACTAACATACTTCTGTATTCATTTAAAAATGAAAACACACACACACACACACACACACACACACACACACCACATATAGAGCTGGGCATGATGGGGCATGCCTGTGCCCAGCACATGGGAGGCTGAGGCAGGAAGATCCACCACAAGGTCAAGACCAGCTTGAGTGACACGGTGCATTCACAGCCAGCCTGAACATAGCCCAGCGTTGACTCCAGACCAACCCACTCTTTCATCCCAGTCAGGGCCGGCTCTTCCAGCCAATATATTGTTTTCCAGGCCATCACTTATGTTCAAACTCCTAAATTAAGCATAAAAAGTCCATTTTACCTCTCCTCTGCCACTGCTATCACAGGAAATGGTTCCCATTTTGCTAGCAACTGCTAACCCTTCAGCCTAAAACTCCCACTTCTTACCCCCAAGGGAATGTCTGCCTAATTTTTCAGAGCCAACTTCTCTGGAAAGACTTTCCTGACTTCTGCAGAGCTTTCTTTCTTTTGTTTGTGAAGTTTTGCAGCCCTTGGAAACTTCCCTGTCCTAGAGCACAGGCGTGGCTTGAGACCTTGAATTTCAGTGTGTGTATCTCCCCTCATTTGTGAATTATGGTCAGAAAAAATTTTAATTTTGTCTCTTACAATACATAAATTGTACACAAATACTCTTTGAACACACTCACTGCTGGATATTAGTATGGGGTGGGGAGAGAAGCTTGAGGTTCATAGGTGTTCGAGGCTCCCAGGTGTAGGATGACAGAAATTTAGAAGCAAAAAGGCTTGCATGTGAGGCTAAAATCCATGACCTTTCCTGGAATCCTGTACAGTACTTGACCTTGCTTGTTCATCCGAGAAAGGAAAATTAGCTGAGTGCAAATGCAATTAATTGCTTGGACTTAGACTTCCCTGTATTTGGTTAGAGTCTAATGTGGTGCTTGTGCCTAAAGGTATCATTTTCTATTATATTGATACCAATTTATTTTTGGATTTGTTGGGCAAGTTCCATTTTGTTTAGATTTCCACCCTTCTCAAAAGTTTTTTAATACCTATTCCATTTTAGATATATTGAGCAAGGTCCATTTTGTTTACTGTCCCCTTTTCAAAAGTACCAAAATGTAAATGTGACTGGAGCCCCAAGAAAAGGGGGGGTTGTGTCATGTCCCAGTTCTGGTCGTTAGGACCTGAGTGTGCATGTGCCAGTGTGTGCTGTTGCTGACAGGCAGACGTGAATGGGAAATGCTACGCCGTTGACCAGTGCCTGGATGTTGACAAGGAATGCAGGTGAAGGAGTGAGAAAAGGAAGAGGAAGGGTAGAAACCAGAGGTAGGAGTTTGCAGTGTGGAGCAATTCAGATGTAAAGCTGAGATTGATGCAATCCTTTGGTTCATTCCTTTTGCCAGTTCAGACAATATGATGACATACATGCATGCAAATGCGTATATATATGGATGGTCACTAACCCCAGTTCATGACTGCTTCACGTTGAGTCTAAAGCTCCTAGGCTAAGGTAGGATCAAATTTGTGTCTCTGACATATCTAGCTTATCTAATTGTCTTCTTCTTTGGGTTTGTTCCTTTCCAACTTCTGGCGGCCTGAATGTTATGAATTTTGAATATTACCTTTTGACTTAGAGGTTGTGAAATTGATACAGGGTATATTACACAGGGATGGTATAGGACTTTGAAATTATCCATATAATATAAGGGAAATATTATAACTCTGACATGCTGTATGTTCAATATGGCAAGCTCATGTTCTCTAAATTTGAGAATGAATTCTAGGAATAATGGAGGTTACAAGTAGGAAGTAGTTATCGAGAAAGAAAAAAAAAAAAAAAAAAAAAAACAACTCTGCCTAAGAGGAATAGAAGGGGGTCTCGAGTTGGTAGCCCTGGGGAATCCATTTCTCAAGAGAGTTTCATAGAGTAAAATCACTAAGTGATGTGGTGTAAGGTGAGAGAAAACTATAGTTAAATAATAAGACTACAGGTATAGTCACTTAGGAAATATTGACACAGTGGAAAATTGCAAGGTGGGTACAATGTGGGACAAAATTATTGTCAATCATCAGGATCACCAATGTAACCCCTTAGGTAATGTTGATTAATGGAGATCAGATGAGGATGCAAGTCACTTAGCAAGTATACCAGGAATGAAGAAAGCTCTCTGGGAAGGAATGGGCTTCACCCAAGGTTTTGGTCCTTCACCCATGGTGATTGATGCCTATTTAGAATATCAGTTACTGCAGTTCATCCCTGGGGAGGTATGTGGATGTAGCCATTTCTTTGTGTGTTGAAGCCTGACCTTCAGCAAGTGTGCTGCAGCCACAGTTGTCTTGTGGACTGACCTCTCGCTGGCCCAGACCTGTCTGACTGCCTGTAGTATTTCTAAATAACTTAGCTATCTATGATAAACTGCCACAATGTAGGGTGTGGGTTGGAAGACATGCCCAGGGGAGAAAACATCAGTATTCCAACATGTGCAATAGATGTTATGAGGCGGGGTCAGTGAGAATTTTGGCATTTATCATGTAATACATGATCTATTAATTACAGAGCACTGTTGTACAAAGTATGCCACCATCACATTTTCTTAGTTGAAAATATAATGCATTTTTTCAAATTTTAAGAAATTCGCATTAGCTTGGATTGCTGATGTATAGTTAGAGCCTTGCCTTTCTGTGCTCTAAGTTGTGATTGACTTTAAAAAAGAATCAGAGCTAGTCCCCTTTTTAAAAATAGTACCTTAGGAGAGAACTTTTAAGCAAATCATTTCGTGCTCTGGTAGACCATAGTTGTCTTTCCCAGGTTCTATGTGCTCAACTCTTTTTTCTTGGCCTTTGAGAGATAACAAAGGCTTTAAACACCTCCTCTATGGTCCATGATGTCAAAGCTGCTGTATGAGGCTCTCTGTAGTCCCATGGGGAACCAGAAGAAGAACGATGATCATAAGATCATAAATGACCCAGATGTTTATAGAAATGACCCAGTCAGTGTAAGATGTTGCTTCTTATCCCAAGATGGAGTTATGGTAGTTTTTTGCTTATTTGCATATTTTTCCATTTTGATTCAAAGGTTTTGAGTTAAAAATATACATGCATGTGAAACATGATGACATAATAGAAAACGTAGTTTATTAAGGTCATGACAGTGTGTCTTTTTATCTTCAAAAATATCATTAATGGTAAAAGCAAAGAGGCTCACAGAAATTAATATTTTATGGGACAAGAGCCCATGTTTATTTGGTTTAATTGAAATAACACATTGGTGCAAGACATATACTTTGCTAAAATTATAGTCATTATTAGTAACCCACAGTGACTTTTTATCACTTGGAGCAAGGTGCCTCCCTGGTCTTCCACAGAAACTGGTTGATAGGGAAGCACAGTCCTGGAAAGTGAAACTGGGAAGAGATTTTTTTAAAACAAGATTTACAACTCCAAGGGAGAAAACCTGAACTAACATTTACAAGTGTTCCTTTTCTTTCTTCCTTTCTTTCTTCTTTCCTTTCTTCTTTTCTTTTCTTTTCTTTTCTTTTCTTTTCTTTTCTTTTCTTTTCTTTTCTTTTCTTTTTCTTTCTTTCTTTCTTTCTTTCTTTCTTTCTTTCTTTCTTTCTTTCTTTCTTTCTTTTGTTTTAAGAAAAAGGAGGATAAGGCTCAGAGGCAGGGAATAACCTGTTTAATTTGCTTAGTCAAATTAAATATTTAGCCTTATTGCTATGTAGTCCAGCTTAATGAAACATTAAGTTCATCTTGGCCAACAAAGATTCAAAATCAATGTATCTGATTCCAATACTCCAGTGTTCATCTGATAGCTCAGAATTTGGGCTTATTATTTTTACATAACATACATGTAAAATACATATATTTATATGTATATATAATAAATATTTATTAAACATTGTATATGTGTATGTTTATAAAAGGACTTGTTTGCAATTCCCACCTCCCAGTTTCAGCAGTTCTCATAGAAAATAGTGTGTCATTTTTGCAGCTACCCTGACTCAGAGTCAACTTTTTATCTTTTCAGTAGCCTGTATGTAGGTCAGACTATACCATATATGTTCCCTCTGCTTCCATCTATCTAGCCATTATCACATGCAATGATGACAAAAATATGCAGTTTTTATTCATAGGGGGTTATTTATGACTCTTCAAACACTGTTAGAGATGCCAAAGAGAAGTAACACTAGGGTGATTTTGTGTAACGATTAAGAATTCACTCTCTGGCGTTGAAGTGTGGCTTGTGGTTATGAATGACTCCTTGAGGACTCTGGAAGTAGTTGTCACCTCGATTGGTTCCTCATCCCCGTGTGGGGTAATGAGTATCCTGACCTCATGTTATTGTTAGGGTCAAATGATGTGAACCATGGAAAGTAGAATACTACCTGGCAAGAAGCTGTGTCGGCCCTTGTTACTCCGAGGGGGATCTAAGCCCATACTGGGGGCGGGGGACGGCTTATTTAGAGGAGTTGTACTAGTCATAGAGTTCTGTTTGGCTGTTTTATGAAAAACCAACAACAAAAATTGTTCTAGCTTCCTGTTGGTGCTGTATATCTTCCCCACAAATGTAGTAGCTGCAAATAACACAATTGGTTATCTTATAGTTCTGAAGGTCATAAATTCCAAATATTATGGTAGAGATAATTAGAGTAGTGGTGGCAAACCTATAACACCAGTGTGCCACAGTGGCATATTTGTATAACTGAAAGCTGTAGAAGGTTCACCATCTCTGCTCTAGGGGCTCATCTGTTTTTCTTTCTTAACTTCTACAGGTGGCCATAGTCCTTGATCAGTGGCCTGAAATCACTCTGACTTCAGCTTCTTTCTTCACAGCTTGTCTCAGTTGGACCACCCTCCTGCCTTCTTCTGGTAAGAAGCCTCATGATTCTGCTAAACTCATCTGGATAATTCAGGGCAATGCCCATGTCCCAAATCCTTAATTCAGTACATTTATAGAATCCCCATTGCAATTAAGAAGATGTAGTCACAGGGCTGAGCGGCTGGGAGTGTACACGTTTGGAACACAATCATCTCACTTAGCATACTTGGTGGCTGCTGATGGGGCACTAATGACTGTGTGACAGCAGGAGGGCTCGTTGATGTGCCTCTGAATTGTGCCTTTCATGCAGACCTTACCAGATGGATGATCTCTGTGAAGGAAATGGCACTTTTGCCATCAGCTTATTAAAGATGTTGGGTGAAGAAGACGGTTCACAGAACGTGTTCATATGCCCACTGAGTATCTCCTCCTCTCTGGCCATGGTCTTCCTGGGGGCGAAAGGAAACACTGCTGCCCAGATTTCCGAGGTACGCATACCTGCCCCCCCTCCTGCTTCCCCCCAAAAGAGAACAAAGGCAAATTTCTCTTGTGCTTCCATAGAGCCAGTCTTTCCATTCTATCCCTCCACTGGTGACAGCTTGTGTGTTCCATAGATTAGGAATAGGTCACTCTGATGTTTGGGGGGGAAGTTATGTCATAGAGTTATTTTCTGTAGGTAAAATTATCAAATCTGTTCATGAAATAACACCTTTGATAAAAAAGGTAAATGATAATTTTGCCCCCACAAAAGCCAAGAATTTCAATCCTGTTGTATTTTAAACTTTTCTAACATTTATGTTTTAAATAGAGGTGTAGCTGTGATAATGAACTTTTTTAAGAGTACAATTATGCCTATGTAGATGAAAAATGTGACATACATTTGAACTTAGATTTTCTTGGGTTATGTAGAGGAAATCTATAATCTGGCTCATTTTCAATGTTTCTGTTTCAATCTGTATCCTTATCTTCAAATGAAGTAGTGGGTGACACTTGAGGACATTTCTTGAACACCTGGTGAATGGAACTCAGAAAATTGCCATCTAGACATCCTTTTGCCACTAATGTCTAGGATGTATGGATAACCTGGAGTACATCCTGGGTCCTAGTTGAGGCCTCCAGTGGTTGTCTCAACCTACTGGAGGAGGGAAGCTTCCAACTATGGTGATGGGGAGGCACAGAAAAAAATCCTGTTGCTCATTTTGACCTGATGTACAAACCATAATTTGGTGTGAAAAAACATGAAATTACATTTTTATTTTTATTTCAGTTTCTTTTTATACTCGCAGAGTCATAGTAGATTTTGCCCAACTACCTTTTTTTCTGTTCTTCTTCCATCTAAGTTATTGCAGCCTGATGTGGATAAATCTGCTAGATCTGTATTTTTTACCTCACGGTAGAGTTTTCCTGCTTAGGGGTATGGGATGTGGTAAGGCTGGAGTTTTAGCTCTCATAACTGAGAGGTGGTGCTGCCCTCTAGCGGAAAGAGGCCAGAAATTCTGCAAAACATGCTACAGAGCACGGAACAATTCAGATCTCAAGGAGCTGTCAGACCCAAAGTATCCCTAGTGCCAAGCCTGAATAATCCTTTTATTTCTTTTCCTTTCTTTTTTCTTTCCTTTCCTTTTTTCTTTTCTATTCTTTTTCTGTTCAGTTCTTAATAGTCATTCTTTATGAATGTAATTATTGTGTGTTACAAATGTATATTACAGAAAAAGATGCCGCTTAGAATTCTCCCAAGGTGAGAAAAGCATTACAAAAAATTAAAAAGGTCAATTGAACCAAACTTCCTTTAAGACAGAAGCTTGTGTGATTTTCATTCTTGGCATTTGTTTGGAAATAGCTCGTGTGGGGGGTATGATGGCTGTACCTGAAGCGCACACTGTCTTCTGTTCCAGGCGCTTCGCCTGAACAGAGATGGAGATGTTCATGGAAGTTTCCAGTGTCTTCTCACTGAAGTTAACAGAACCGGCACTAAGTACCTGCTTCGAATGGCAAACAGGCTCTTTGGGGAAGAATCATATGGTTTTCTTCCAGTAAGTAGTACTCACTCGTTGATAAGGAGTTTGAAAATAAGATGTAAGCATAGAAGAGAAGGGAATGAAGCATAATTTGGTCACCTGGAAAATGTGCTTAGAATTATACTTCTGCAATTCCAATTTTGACTTTTGTGCTTGCTTCTGATCTGTGTTCTTTCTCAAATTGTTTCTGGTACATCCCCCCACCCCTAGAAATCTTTTAGGCAGCCTGACTCTTGTTTAGCACTAAACATAGTGTCTGGAATATAGTTATTGAATGAGAGGCTCCTTAGAGAACTAAATTATCAGGAATCCATAGAGCCACAAACAAACCAAGAAGGAAGCATCCTGCTGCACTCAGACCTTTTCTTCCCTTTGGCCCTATCCCCAGACACATCATCTAAAGTATTAGAAAAAGTTCCGCCCTATTCCCACCTCTGTGTATTGGGCTGGCTTGTGCTGTGGCAGCCTTTCAAGTGTTCTGGTGTTTGCTCCGACTTCCGAATCACCACTGGTGTTTGGGCTCAGATTAGCTGTGTCTTTCACTGTACTATCAGTTGTTCTGACAGGCCTGTCCAAGACTTGCCTGGCCCTTCTGTTTCCCTCATAAATCCTACAGATGACAGGCTAGTATTTTTAAAATGAAAATGTGTTCACACTTCAGCATGTACTTTTAAAATCACCTACTCCATTCAGTGGTTGCCATGACTTAGGAAATGAGACCCCAAAATTATACCACATAATATATAAGGTTATGCTATTTTTAAACTAATGAAATTATCAGAGTAGGCCTGACTGACTCATTGGCTGAATGTTCTAGCAGTTCTTATCTGAGAGTCAGATACATATCTATTCTGATTTTGGAATTTGGTTGGTCTGGGTTTACTTGATTGCTGGAGATGATTCTAGATCCCAGGAATACCTGGTGAACATGTTCATTTTTGAACATTCGCTTAAACTTTGAGTGCAAATAGTCAACTTCCACCTTTCTTAGTTCTTGGACATCTCCGTCCATCTGAATCCTCTCTTTAGTAGAAGCTAAAATACTTGAGAACAGGAAACAGGCAGAGAATGGAAGCTAATTGATAGGAATATCTGAAAATATATTTTTATGGGATAAATTACTTGGGTTTTAATGTGTCGTGTATAGGCATTTCCTGATTTGACCCCAAGTTACATTTCCATTTCCCTGACGCATAAAAGTATACGCACACATAGAAATCATGCACACATGCATGTATACACATGTACACGATGACTTGTACACACTTTGTGATCCAGACCTGTCACACATCATTTCCATAGGTATTCCTTGTTCCATTTTTTTCCCAACAAAACATGATGTTGCAGATTGAAAATGCTGTTTTCTTATTAGTTTGTTTGTAGATCTATGGCATTTATTTATTTATTTATTTATTTATTTATAAGATGTATTATTTCTTAATAGTTTAGTTTGACTATGGAGCCTCTCACTCAAAAAAAAAAATGCTTCAGACACCATGTTTAGTGTTAAGTAAAAGAGAGTTAGGCTGCCCAGTAAGAGAACAGAAAATCAAAGTCAATGCAGAATTTTGATAGAGACCATCCTGGGCTATTTTGTACATGGCTGGTGACACTCAGGTCGTTTGTGACTATCTGTGTACATGGACTGTCTCTACTCTCTCGGTTCCCTCTTCACACATCATGTCTTTATCTAGTGACTGTAACCCTCACAGAGTAAATGGTCCAACGATTAGGATAATTGTGTAAATGTGTCTCTCTTAGGGCAACATGACCTTTGCAAGCATTTATGATGGAACCATGCTAAGAGAAGGGAATATTGTGGTATTGTCCTAGCTTTGTTAAATAGGAACAAACCCACCGTTTGTGTTTGTAGGCCTTTAAGGAATCCTGCAAAAAGTTCTACCAGGCAGAGACGGAGGAGTTGTCTTTTGCAAATGATGCTGAAGAGTGTAGGAAACACATCAATGACTGGGTGACAGAAAAGACCGAAGGTAAGAAATTTTAATTTAGTTGGACTCAGTAGTGCCGTGGAAGCAGAGGTTTAGGAGGGAGGGGTTGGTGCCCTGTGATTCTGTGAGCAGTGGAACGAGAGGACTGTCTCTGTGTCTGTTGAGGTCTTAGGTTAGCAACAAAGTTCAGTTTTTCTTCAGATTATTGGATCACAAAGTAGTGATTTTTTAAAAAAAAAAAACTAAAAGCTCAAACCCCTTCTATTCTGGACTGTTCCAGAAAATCCCTGGTAAGTGCTTCTTCATGAGCCCCTAATTCTCTTCTGTGTGTGGGAACCTGGCATACGCTGAGGCGGGAGGACATTCATTTATGTTGTAGGTGAGATTCAGCATCAGTGCGAGTTGTCCCCTTACTTCTCTGTGTTAGTGTAACTGGCTCGCTGGTTTGGCCTGCAGCCCGCTCCCTCCTCTTTGACTTCACTGGGGCTGTACTTGTTTTCAGTGTTATCTTTCCTGAATCTGTTTTAGATTCTAGATGCATTGCTAATCTGGAGATTCCAGTGTCCCCTATCCAACCCACCAGAGAAAGTTTTTCCAGTTCATGATTTGATTAAAAAGAAAAATAGCTGGACATGGTGGCACACTCCTATAATGCCAGCACTTGGAGGCTCAGGTAGGAGGGGCACCATGAATTCGAGACCAGCATAGCTAATAGTGAGTTCAAGGCCAGCCTGAACTGCACTGTAAGACCCTACCTCAAAACTAGACAAATAAACCAACAACAGCACAATTGCTACCACAACAACAGCAATTTAAAAAAAGAGAGAGAGAGAGAGAGAGAGAGAGAGAGAGAGAGAGAGAGAGAGAAAAGAGAGCTTTTAAACATGTAAATACCTAACAAGGAATATAAAGCCTTCCCAAATGTAGGTCACTTATTTCTTCACGTGCCAACCCAGCACTCAGTGTCTTTCATCCATTGTTTATGACACACCCATTGTGTGCCAGGCAGCAGCGATGTCCTTAATTATACTGACAGCCAGTGACATAATTATATGGGAAGGAACCCGCCTTTACATTTTTGCACCTCATCTTTCCAGCACGCCCTGTCCTGTTGATCCAGCAGTACTTAGTCACCTGAGCAGTTTCTCCACACCCTGCTCTCTCCTCGTGTACCATTTCTCCATCTACACCCTTCCTTTTGGTTGACCATTCACATGTTTGCCAAGAATATTACAATTAGAAAAGACCTTGGGGATCATCTTGGTCCTTCTCTTTGGACATCTCAGTTTGGGTCCTTCTGTTCCATCTCCCTAATTCCTTCTCCCATTCACTCTTTTCAGTTAGTTTGCCTTCTTCCTATCCCCTCATGGGTCAAGGTCCCCATCGCTAAGGGATTTCTCCTTATCTAGATAAGAGCTAAAGATGATAATAGAGCAGTGATTCTCAAGCAGCAGTGACTTTGTCCTCCCTGTGACATGTGACAACACTGAAGACATTTTTGGTTGTCACAACTGAAGAAAGTCTTACTAGTTGCACATCTTACAGCACACAGGGCAGACCTATTTTCTTAGCCATTTACTACCTGAATGAACTTGACAGAAAGGGAAGAGGAATGTTCTCATCCTGCATTTCTACAGCTATAAATTGTGAAAAAAAAATTTTAGTTTCCCTACCTACTTTAGGATTACCATGTAAGGACAAATGATACACTGTGAAACAAAGACTCCAATCTGGCCTTAACCATCAAGGAGATTGTAAAAGAATGCTTATTTCTCCCTAAATTACTACAAACCTCTTTCCTGTTCTTCACAGGTAAGATTTCAGAAGTGCTGGGTCCTGGAATCGTCAGTTCACTGACGAAGCTGGTCCTTGTGAATGCTGTGTATTTCAAAGGAAAGTGGAATGAGCAATTTGACAGAAAGTACACAAGGGGAATGCCCTTTAAAACTGGCAAGGTAGGGAGCGTTTTCTGGTGTACTGCTACCTTCTCCAGGTCATTAGCTGGGAAGCATGATGGATAGAAAAAAGTAAATTTATTTCATCATCTGTTTTTCTGAATGAATTGAATGCCCTTTTCCTGTCTATGTTTGAGAAAGGGGAGGACAGAAACTAAAATAATTTTTGCATTGATAATTTTATTTTTGCATCTTCAATCAAGTTCATCTTCCATCTTTGATCATATGATTTTGGTTGGTGGAAATTTCCTTCTCAGTCTTAGATGTATGCTGACATTAAACACCTTTCCGCACCTTGAGTGGGAACTGTGCCTATTTGTGCCTCAGAATTTATGGGTGTACAATTCTGAGCAATTTCCTTTAAAATATGACAATTGCTAGAGTCAATAGTTGTTACATTTTGGCCCTAACCTTCTAAGGTCAATTAAGACTCAGGACATATGAGAACTTGTACTGTAACGTCATGTACCTCGGTAGTGTCCCAAATTTTCTGATCAAGAAGATTATGGGGCCAAAGAGGAAAGTGACCGATGATGTAGAGTGTGCCTAAGGAGAGTCACATGGGGGCAAAACACTCTCTCAGGCTTTCACAGAGAGCACATTGGCCAAGCAATGGCTGTGACTCATCCACATGGCTGCACTGACAAAGGTTCTACAATCTGAGGTACAGGATCTCAGGATAAATCCTGAGGGGATTTCACTGACCTTCTCAGACCCAAAAGCTACAACTCTTGTTGCACAGGTCCTGCGTTACCTTGGTCTTAACCATCGAGTAGAAAAGTATGAAGATGAAATATAGGAAGTAAAGCCATGCTGTTATGTTGAGCTGTGGGGGACTCAGGTGAATAATTTCTGTCATTGCCAGTTAAACAGAAGACCCAATGCTATTATGGGCTACTGGACTCTTTTAGGATATTTTGCTGAGTTCACACTCCTATAATATTCAGTAACGGAACTTAGAAAAAAAGGGGTATACCGATGAATGTCCATTTTGTATCTGTGTATTCAAAGTGGTTAGGATAGATATATAGTTGCATTCTCTTAATGAATAGAATGATTTGTTCTAATGGTGTTTGTAGATAGGATCTCAAGTCCGCATCTTGTACAGCAATTAACCACTAAGAAGAATATATGCAGTGTGTTATTTGTTGAATCTGTACTTCTGATTTGATTTGAAACTGTCTCATTGCTATCTGTTTATCAATAAAATTTTGAAAAAAAATAGTTGTTGTTAGCTTGGAATTTGACCTCTATCCATTTGATAATAGCACACTGTACAAAGCTATTTAAGTTAAAAATATATTTAATTGAATATTTAAAAATGGCTGACCTTATACATTTAGTCAAGGCCCCTTCCCTAAGAAAATCAAAGCCAGAAAACCAATTTCATATTAGGTACCTTTTCAGAATAAAAGTATATTTCCCTTTGGCTTATGTAGCTTTTCTAACCAGATTCTTCAGCCTAAGCACTGAATGTAGTTAATGCTCCTCTTAACTTGGAGAAATACTTTTTAATTTTAAGGCCCATGGGAGTCCTTACCTATGTATCTTCACAGAAAAGAAAACATGTTCTTTTAAAACTAACATGGAGTTTTATGTCTTATGTTCATCATACTATTCTCTCTCACCTACATAATTGATCATCTGAAGGAACAATAGCATGTGCTACTCAACACTAAGATATGATAGAGAAGACTCTGTACCTAAAAGCATAAATGCACAGAAATAATCTTATCCTTGTCTAACAGTTACATGAATCAGACATATCTTGATTTTACGAAATCATGTTCATTTCTCTGCAGTCTTAATTTTAATTTCATGTGTTTTTACTAGGAGAAGAAAACTGTGCAAATGATGTTTAAGCATGCACATTTTAACATGAGCTATATAGAGGAGGTGCACACACAGGTCTTGGAGCTGCCCTATGAAGACGAGCTGAGCATGGTCATTCTGCTTCCTGAAGACAACACTGATCTTGCCGTGGTGAGTCCTGGGCCATGAGTCCAAGTATCTACAGACTTCAGCTGAATTTATTTCTTTAAGTCCATCTATCAGATGGCATTTGAGGAGTTTCCAGTTATGGGTAATTACAAATAGTACTGCAGGAGCATCAGTGTGTACCTTTTGGTGAGGATGTATGTGCATTTCTGTTGTGTGCCTCTGTAGGACAGGACACATTTTGAGGAAACTGAGAAGAATGGCCCAAAGTGTACCAACATTCTTTATTTGGAAAGTAGTTCTGGAAGAAGGATAGGGTGTTATCCAGACAATATTTTTCAGTATTAATTTGCATATGAACCTCTATGCAAGCTTATTAAAGATTTTGATTTTTGAGATTTTGCATTTCTAAGAAGATTCTTGTCTTAGTCGCTTTTCTTATTGCTGAGATAATAGATGTGGTGCCCCAAATTAAGAGAGCAAAGCTTTATTTAGCTTATAGTTTATAGAGGTTTCAGTCTATAATCAGCTGGCTCTAAGGCAGGGTGACATGGCAGAGAAGCAACCATTCATGACAGCAGAAGACAGAAAAAGCAACAAGTAAAGAGAATTAGCCTTTTCCACTGCTTATATTGTATGCAGGCTGTCTGCCCTAAGACAGGTGGAGCAAATTCCAGATTCAGCCACCTGTAAAACACCCTCCCCCTATGACTGCTAGAGACTTTAGGGGGTCATCGAGACACAAACCATAGCAATTCTCCATAAAGCATTTATTGCAGATCCATGGATCACACTATTATTAGTACATGTTTGTAATACATAACAAATATGTTCATCATGGGGAGTTGTTACATGTACATGTCACACTTTCAGGAGCAAGATCTAAGTTACAGATGGGCTATTTACCTTGGACAAGAGAAGCAAGTCTTTTCATAATAAAAAACAAAGAGTTCAGAAAAAGAGCAAGCAAACTTGCGAGGTGGGAACTGCAGCATTACTAGCATGCTGGTAAAGCTGCTCAAGAAGATGAGGGTCATTCCCATTTTTAAAGTTTGCTGATTTTCATGCTGATTCCTACCATTTCTGGTTCTAGCCTACCAAAGGTTTTTGTTTTGTTTTGTTTTGTTTTGTTTTTTGGTGGGGGCAGAACTGGGGATTGAACTCAGGCCCTTGCACTTACCGGTGAAGCACTTATTCTACTGAGCCATCTCCCTGGCCCCCTTACCAAGTGTTTAACAGTTATATTAGTCAGAATTTGCACACCAGTGGACAGGATCCAGAGTGTGAGGATGCTTGATTTCCTTGGCTTATTCATGGAATCAAAAAGCTATAGACATAATTCAAGAATGGAATCTATCATGGCCACCTGAGAGGAGGTTTAGAAATCCAAGAATAGAGGCAAAGTTAAAACAGCGGTTCCTGGGAAAGTTTCTCAGTTCAGCACCAGTTGGTAAAGGATTGAGGAGGTATAAGTAAAAGCACCCTTTCAGTCCTCCCTTTCCTCTTTGTGGATAAGAATGAGTGATGAGTCCCAGAGGATTTGAAGCTAACTGCAGGGCAGACAGAGGGAAAACAAGGATGTCAGATGCAAAAGTGCTGCTGTTCTCCATTTCTGACTTGCTCCTGGAAACCGTGTGTTCTTTCATGTTCAGATGACTGCCACTTCTTTCACTTTGAAAGAATTGCCCTTATGCAGCTCTGAGCAGATTGCTGAGGGGCTCAGAATCAGAGTTCTGAGTCATACTCTTTATTTTATTAATCTCTTCAATTCAGTCATGCTATTGCATAAATGTTAATATGACAAGTTGATCGTATTTTTTAAATGTTAAATTTCCTTTTCAATATTTGAAACAAGTTTGGTATAAATTTTTTTAAAACTTTGTGTCTGATATTTTCTAGCTCTTTTGCTTTTCTATCCATAGAGTAGGGATAAGATGAGAATTGGGAATGGGGCTGGTGTGTTTCTAACAAGGAAAGTTGCCTTAGCCCATATGGCTCTCAAAGTTCCCAGGAGTAAGGACTGTGAGAAGATAGAGAAATAAAGATATGAGGCAAAAATCTGAGGTCAGGTGGAACCATGTCTCCAGATGGGAGGGAAGGAACAGCTCACTCACTGTAGTGCATTTATTTACACTTTTGGAAAGTTGGTGTCAAGGGGTACCCCCTTTGCCTAGCATCCCATGGCCTGAATTGTCTTGGGGCTTGGTGTTCTGTGGACTGAAGCACTTGGTCACATGGCTTCTGTCAGGCCCTATTTGTTCTTGGACTGGCCTTGCCTCACCCCTGCATGTGTGGTCAGCTTCTAAAACTCCCTCCATCTCCTCTTTTTCTATTTTAAGGTATAATATTAAAGTATTTTCAAGCGATGAGTGGTCAGTTGAAGTTGGAAGAGCTGTTTGCAGGACTCTGTAGAAGACCTGTTCATTCTTGAATCTATTTTATTCTGAGTGAAACTTCTCATTTAAGCTGAAGATTTCCAATCCAAGGATTTTAAGACCCTGCATTCAGCAATTTTTTTTTTTTTTTTTTTGGTGGAACCGAGGATTGAACTCAGGGCCCTTGTGCTTGTCGGGGAAGCTCTTATTCCACTGAGCCATCTCCCTGGCCCCGACATTCAGCAAAATCTTATACAATCCATTAGTCCATACCATTAGTCAGTCAGCAGTGTAGCTAGAAATTATTAGAAGATACTATTGATTTGAGGGTTTTTAAATAGCTAAAATATCACTAGTGTTTTATATATCTTGGGTTATACTTTTCCCTTGGATGTTCAAGACCAAGTTACTGTGAGACCTCTATTAATTACAATTAATCTCTTGCTATCTGTGAAGGTCAGTTAAGTCTCCTTAGGATTTAACTTGGAACCATGTATAGCACCTCTTAGTTTTTCTGTCTGTGTCCACTGTTGGGTGAGTAATGACTATTGCATGTCCAAGTTGTTTTCTGTTAAAGCTTGGGAGACTTTTCTCTCTGAGTGACTCTCCTTAAGCTCACTATATATTGTTGGTCACTTTTCTCTGTGGTCTCAACAATCTCACAGATCAGAAGACAAAGGACTCACCAAGTCAGAGGATGTTACAGCAGAGGTTCTGTTATATTCTGGGTCCTCACTGATCTTTGAAAACTAAGGCCAAAATACTGGCTATCCTTTCAGCCCATCTATTTCTATAATTTATCATCTCCAAACCTCAGTTGTGAAATATGCAGAAGTGAAGGTTAATAACATTACATTGTAATGAAGGCAGTAAGCTTAATATTACTATGTTATCTCAATATCAAGCACTTTAGAATATAAAATAGAACTATTATTTTCTAACAACCATGGATATTTAAATATATGAATCCCCATAGAATGTTGTTAAAGAAAAAAAATTAGAAATCAAAAGCCATTCATAATATTGTAGCATAACAACCATGATTTTTTTAAATACACACGAATTTCCACTTTGTCATAGTACAGCCCTTTTGATCAATCATCTGCAATACATAAGAAAATTTTATCTAACTTATTGTCCTTTAATGGGATGTATTTCACATATGTTTTTGTTAAAGGCAGAGGTCTAAATCTGAAAGAAAAGTCTATCATAAAATCCTTCATTCCACACATTGGGAGACCCACACATCTGCAGGCATGAATACACTCAGTACACTACAAAAATAACAACAATCAGTTGTCCTAGCTATATGAAAATATTTGTACCAGAGCATTTTTAATTCAAAATCTTATTGTCTCAAAAACTTAATCCTTTCACAAATGAGTGATATAAATATATCACAAAAATATATTTTTGATAACATTTATTGGATATGTACCTTAAGGTTATGGAGATCAATGGGGCTTCCTATTAATGAACAAGAATTGGGCATTTTATCCAGGAAGCTGCTTTCTTATTAATTGGAGTTCTGTCCAACAACTTCTCCCACCTTAGAAGATTTTTGTTTAATTATCTTATTTTTAATGACATAAGAAAATCAAATTTGATGCCCCTTTGATAAGCTGGCAGCCTAGGTGAAAGCATTATTTTAAGTCTATAAACAAAATTGTATTATGAACAAATGATCCAAAAATACAGAAGACAAGATGGGACCATGGAGCTCAAATAAATAAAAATTAAAAATCCTAGCTTTTCATAGTTTACTTCACAAATATAGAGAAAAGATTTTCAAACTTTATCTGGAAATAGAAGAGACCTAGAATAGCAAATGCAATTCTGGTCAACAAAGATGAAGAAGGCGGCATCACAATCCTTGACTTGAAATTAAACTACAAAGCTATTGTGATAAAATTAACATGGTATTTGCAAGTAAAAATACCTGAAAATCAATAGAATAGAGTATGAGATGCAGACACAACTACAAACACACTCAGCCACCTTATCTTTGACAAAGAGGCCACAAATCTTCAGTAGAACTGCCTCTTTAATAAATGGTGCTGGAAAAATTGGCTGTCCATATGATAAAGACTAAAACTAGACTCATCTCTATGACCATGCACTAAACTAAAGTCAAAGTGAATTAAAGATCTAAATATTAAGTCAGAAATAGTAAAGCTACTGGAAGAGAAAGTAAGTATATTTCAAGAAGACCTAGGGGTAGGTATAGAGTTCATGAACAAAAACTAAACTGCATATGAAATACTTCAAAGAGTCAATAACTGGAATTTCATCCAATTGAAACTTTTTTGCACATAAGAAATTACCAACAGAATGAAAAGAAAATCCACAAATCGGGAAAAAATTTAGTTAACTGTCCCTCAGACAAAGGACTTTTATCTAGAACATATAAAGAATTAAAAATATTGGGTCCCCAAAATTCAAAGACACAACCCAAAAATGGGCATCTGAAGTGAATATATACTTCTCAGGTGAAGAGATATAAATGACAAATAATTATATGAACATATGTTCAATAACATTGGCCATTCAATAAATGCAAATTAAAACAACACTGAGATTCCATCTCACTCCAGAAAGAATGGCTATTATCAAAAAATCAACCAATAACAAATGCTGGAAAGCTTAACCAGACAGGATGTTTATCCCAGGACTGAAGTAGCTTGTTTGTTTTAAGCATTGAGGCCTAGTCCTACCTACACACATTTGACCAATTTCTTAGCTTTTGTGGCTTCCAGCATATACCCCTTTTTGTTTTGTTTTATCAGAGATGGGTGTTCCATTGCTGTTAGAGATGCTGTATTTGGAGAAGACTTTAAAGGACCTTTTCATATTTGATGCCAGGCCAAAGATTGTACATAATTGAATTCAGCAAAATAATCCAATATAGTTCAATATTCCATAATAGTAGGGAGTTAGCACAAGTAGAAATTGTCATAAGTTGTGGATTTGAGCTTTTTACAGTTCAGCATATTAATGTAGCTTTTCTTTTTATACCTTGTGGTTACACTTTTCTACTGGATGGTTAAGACCAAATTAAAGCAAGACCTATATAACTAAAAATGTAACTTTTCCTATCTGACAAGGTCAGTCAAATCCCCTAAGGATTTATCCTGGAACCATGTACAGGGTACATGTAGTCGCTAGGCAGCCTTGTTTGACATGTTATTAACTTTGCAAAAGTATAAATAAAGGACTGTTTTGTTGTGGGAAAAAAAAGAAAGAAAAACTATGTATGTATACACAATATAGTTAGGATAGATACACAGCTACTTTCTCTTAGTTCATTGAGAAGAAAGGTTCGTACTAATATTGTTTAGACAAGACATCATGTCTACATCTTGTCCTCTGAATACCTACTACGAAGACAACAATATGCAATGTATTAATTGTTGTAACTGTCCTACTAACCTTTTTTGAAACTATTTCATTTCTATTTTATCTTTTTTCTCATTAAAATGAATTTAAAAATGCTGGAGAGTCTGTGGGGAGAAAGGAACCCTTCTTCACTGTTGGTTGAGGTGTAGAATGGTATAATCACTATGGAAATCAATATGGAGATTGTTCAACAACTAGAATTAGAGATCCCATTCAACTCAGCTATTCCCATTCTGGGTATTTTTCCAGAAAAATTGATAACATCATCCCACAGTGATATGTGTGCACACATGTTTGTAGCAGCAGAATTTTTTATAGCTAAATCTTAGAAGCAACCCAAATGTTCATGAACTGAGGAATGGATAAAAAAGATGTGATTTTTTTTAAGATGTGATATTTTTATACAATGGAGTATTGCTCAGCTACAAAAAAAGATAAACTCAAAGATTTTATAGGTAAATAGATACAACTAGAGACCATACTCATAAGTGAAATAAATTATACCCATGTGTGTAAACATTATATTGTAACCCTAGTTTAAGAGCCTGAAAGAATAAATAAAACCTGAAAGGTACAATAAATATTGTGAAAGGGAAAGAAACTGTTCAAAAGGAAAGAACAACTGGGTTGAAGGAAAGAACAAAAGAAAGAAAGAAAAAATATACACACATGATAGCTAAGGTAATTTTACTGGTAATTTCTATTGGTTTATTGAAAAGGAAAATTAATGCTTAGTTGTTTCATCAGTTTTTAATGCCTATATTTTATAATCTGAAAAATTACTTTAAAGATAACAGTATAACAACCATTGTTAATTTGTTAACTTGTTTTAAAAATCTGCATCATTTTTATTGTTTTTTGTTTGGTTTTGTTTTTATTCTTTTTAAAATAGAAAAGAGAAACAAGTGTTTACAGAATGGACAAACAGACCCATGCAGACTGATAAACGATTCTCCTGTAAGACCAGAGTATACTCAGATATATTTTTTGCTAAATTATATCTGAGTGTCAAATGACATCTGATTTAATATCTGTGAGTGCACTCAGATATTTATTAAATTATATAATAATCTTTTATAATTATAGAAATTTATAATTATAGACAGATCAGATTTTTTGGAGATTGATTAGCAGAAATCTTTAATAAGAATTAGGAATGAATAAAATATTTTATCTGTAATTAAGATTTTTTTTGTATTTTATTTTATCTTAAACATGCTGATAACTTTTGTGTCCCCTTCTTTCATGTAACTTTTAGCTCAGTTGTCTCCAAGCATTATACCATGTACTCAGAGATTTGGTTCCCATTTTTGCTTACTACCTCCTGGGAATTCTGGGTCAATTCTTTTGATTTGTCCCAAGTCAAATCTAGTCCCATGCTTGTCTATTGTTTGTAGATCAGTCTCTGAGGCATCATTCGGATACGACTCAGCATCAGCTTCTCCAAGGGTGGAATCAAATCCTCCAGGCCTGAGTCTATGATGTAGCCAGACATCACATGCTGGCACCCATAGAGGATGTTAAGTATTCTCTGGAAAGACACAGGCGTACCCTTGACTCCAAATTAGCATTGGCATGGGTCCCTTCCAGTGTTCAGTGCAAAGATCTTTCTATAGGACCCATCCTACCTTTTCTTTTTTGTTTTACCTATAGAATTGTCTTTTTGTTATTGTAGATTTATCTTTAATAGAATTTTAAAACTCAGTAGTATATACTGCCAAGTGAAGTCCATTATGAGGTGTAATAATGAGGTGTAAACAATTTTTTTTGGGGGGTACAGGGTCTCACTACACAGCTCAAAATTGTAGTGATCCTTCTATTTTCAGCCTCCTGAACCCTGGAATTACAGGCATGCGCCACCATGCCTACTCTTGGAGGCCTGCTTAAAGTGCCCAGGGGTGAAGCTCGTGCAGCATGTGGTGTGGGGGATTGAACCCCTGTCCCTATTGCCTGAGGAGGCACTTAGTCCTCTGTGCTATCTTGCAGCCCCTGGAATGTAAATTTTGTATGGAAGGATTCCTCCTTTTGTTTTTGTAATTAAACATGCAGTATACAGTGAGTATGTTTAACAAATTTTAGATCTTGACGATTATAAGGAATTCCTATGGTAGGGGAAAAATGAAAAAAATTTACAAAATGTTTGAAAGGTAGCACTTGTATAGGCTGAGCCACTGACAGCCTTAAGTGTAGACAAAAGAGGAAAAAAAAACATATTTTGTTTTCACGTGCATGGAGCTCCCACATATTGCTTTGTATAGATACTAGAAGGTTTTGTTGAAGAGACAGAAAATGGCTATGCTGCACCTACCGTTGCAGTTGAGCAGTATTGGGCAAAATGCCCCTCCCCTCCACAGCTGAAACAAGTAACTCTGTGGTCTTCCTTTCCCCTAGGCTGTGGATAGATAACCTGAGTGATAGCTGCTGGCAAGGCAGCCCCCTATACATGTGAGGGGCCCAAGTCTGCAAAAATTTAAATCATTTCAGCCATTGTAGCCTGTTTTCTGTTGCCTCTTAGAGCCTCTTGACATCTTTTATTTGCATTTTCAAAGGCCAATTGCTGAACACTCTGTTTTATGAAAAGTGGAAATTTTAGCCAGTAATGAAGCAAAATTTCGCTTAGGTGAGAAGGCAGGAATTGCCACTTGTGGCTCAGTTAAGGTTATTGGTGTGGCTGTTGTTCTACCATATATTTTTTTGTACTTGGAACTTGAATTTAAAATAGTGCTCCAGGCCAAATCCTTTGTGGTCATCTCAACAAACTTAAGACCATTAAAGCACTCTTTAATGCAAATCCACAAAAGTAAAAGAAAATACAGGAATAAAGAATACAAACAGTTCCATATATATATATATATATATATATATATATATTTGTGGTTCTTGGAAATCTGTTTGCCCCATGTTTAGCATCTGACAAAATCAACACATCTCTCTTCCTATTGGTTCTCATGAGCCCATTTATCTTTGTCCCTAGTGAGCCTGGTTTTCTCTTTGTCCTAATGAACCCATTTTTCTCTTGCACCAAGTTTTACACTTGATGATATCAATATCAATATACCTCTGTGATTAATATTGATGATTTTAATGTACTTCTCCCCTTTTATGAGCATAATGAGAGGTGTCCCTTCACCCACTCTTCCTTCTTATCCTGGTCTGTGTTTAGGGGCCATATGCCATGGCCTGTGAAGCTCTCAAAATTCCTGGGGGGAAGCATGGCAAGAGGAGAAATAATGATAAAAGATAGAAAACTGAAGTGAGGTGGAGCCCTCTATCCAGATGGGAAGAAAGGAGCTCCTCAACCACTGTAGCCCATTGAATTATACATTTAGCAAATTGGCATCATGTGATACTCCTTTTGCCTAGCCACCCACTGCTTAGATTGCCTCAGGGCTTGGTGTTCTCAGGATTGAAGCATCTTGTTCATGTGGTTTGCCTCTGGTGCTCTTTATTCTCAGACCGGCCTTGCCTTGCACCTGCCCATGTGATCAATTTGCAGCTTCAGTGGCTCCCTACAAAAATATCTTTAGCTTGTTTGATAAAGAATTTATAATAGAGTTCTATATCAGACAAAGAGTGTAAAAAGTGGGTGGAGGGTATAAGGCTATTGTCCTGTAGGTTTTAAGATCTGACTCTTTAATATTCTAGGTGGAGAAAGCACTTACATATGAGAAATTCAAATCCTGGACAAATCCAAAAAGCATGAAGAAAAGTAAAATTCAAGTTTTCTTTCCCATATTTAAGCTGGAGGAGAGTTATGACTTGGAATCTATTCTCCAACGTTTAGGAATGACTGATGCTTTTGAAGAGAACAAGGCTGACTTTTCTGGAATGTCAACTAAAAAGAATGTGCCACTGTCTAAGGTTGCCCACAAGTGCTTTGTAGAAGTTAATGAGGAAGGCACAGAGGCAGCTGCAGCCACTGCAGTGGTCCGGAATACCCGGAGTGCCAAGATAGAACCAAGGTTCTGTGCAGACCACCCTTTCCTTTTCTTCATCTGGCACCACAGCACCAACAGCATCATATTCTGCGGCAGGTTCTCTTCACCATGAAGATGTTCTCTTGCTATAATCAACCTCTCTTTTCTTCTGCTTACTGTGCCTTCATTAAAATTTCATGTGGCCAAACTGGTGTAAAGGCTTGAATGCCAAAACAAAGTATGTGCACTGGTGAGGTTTGTGAATGTCTTTGATAGTAGTTCCAATGCCCTTGACAACAACTGATGCTTCAGATACATGGAAGTTGGGGTTGAGAGGGCTACCCTTATTTTGGAATGTTTGAGGCACTTTTTGTCTCACTTAGAGTCTGTGGCTCCTATTTGTAAACATCTTACTAATTTGTGACCAAGTCTTAAATGTTATAGTCCTTTTGCTCTGCCTACTACTACTGCCAGTCTCTCCTTTAGGCAGGGTGAACCAGAGTACTCCATAGGGTGACCCCGTAGCCATTAATTACAGGCACTACTAAGATAGCATCTCAGTCACAGAGGCTTTCCATGTCCCGCAGCTCACATGGAAACAGCTTCTTCAGAACTTCTTTCCATAAGTATCATATTAGTTCCATGGCTCAGCAGTGAGCCTCAGAACTGTGCTGTGAGACAGAAGAGTGGAATATGCCGGGTCAGCATCTTGGGGTGCCTTCCCTTTGAAACCTCGAAGGAACCTTCATGCCAAACAGTTCTTGGAAGGTATAATATACTACTAATTAGTTGTTTATTCCCAGACATTCTCCCCCCTGTTCTATGTAAATATAGATTCATTAAGTGTTTTAGCAAAAGTGAATGATAACTTCTGTTGTTAACTTCTTCCCCTATTTACTGTACATTTTCCTTCAGACATTTATCTTTCCATGTCATCAATTTGATGTTCAGAGTATTCTCATGAATGGCTGTAGATCTTTATTTGAATTTACCTAAATGATGTGGATGAAATTATTTATATATTATATGATTATGAATAACCTTGATATCTGTTCACACCCTTAAGTTTTGGAGCAATATTCCTAAAAATTATACTGTCAGGTTAAAATTTGGATACATTATCAGACTTCTGAGTTGGTCTCCAAAACTTTTACTGATTTACATTCTTGCTCATGTTTCTATTTATATCTCTGCTAATTGCTGTCTGGCTTATTATGTTTATGAGTTGGACTAAATGGGTGAGTCTTGATTCTACTTTTTATTCACAGTTTACAGTCACAGGATGCATTCATATTATAGCTGCAACTTAAAATTTACCACAAGTTAGAATATTTTCTCAAGCCATTTCACTTCAGCAACCATGTTTTCCAAGGTACATTTGGCATGAACATTAATTCACAGAGCTGGAAAGTATGCATTTGGGTTTTCATCTCACTGGCACTTCGAACTTAAAAATATATCTTTCTTGAGGTATTATTGACCCAGAACAAACTTCATAAGTTTAACATACAATTTAATAAGTGCTGACGAATGCATGCATCCATGAAATCATTTCTACTTTGGAAATAATGACCATGTCTATCCTGTCTATCTGCATTTTTTACTGAACCTTTACAGTCTCTCCCTCCTTTCCCTCCTTAATGCTTTAGCCTTCTTCCTCAAGCAGACTATGCTCTGTGTTCTATCACTAGAACTTAATTTTATTTTCTAGAACTTTACTTGTAATCTTCATCTACCCTTTGCATATGCCTCCTAAAATTTTATATAGCTTCCTTTTATTGCTAAGTATTATAACATTGTATGTATATACCACAGTTTTTAGTCCATTCATATGTAGATTGATATTTAGGTTGTCATCAATGTTTGGCCATTGCAAATAAAATTATGAATATACATGTTTTTCATTTCTTTTGGATAGATGCATAGGAGTGGAATGTCTTCATTAAATTAAGTGTATCCTGCCTAGGGAGATAGCTCAGTAGAATAAGGACTTGCCTGGCAAGCACAAGGTCCTGAGTTCAATCCCCAGTGCCACAATAAATAAATAAATAAATAAATAAATAAATAAATAAATTAATAAATATAAATAAAAAACTAAGTGCATCCTTAAAGTTTTTAAGGAACTGCCAAATTGTTTTTGAAAGTAATTGTATCATTTATGTTTCCCAGAAAGGCCTCTAGGAGTTTTGGTTGATTGATCTACATCCTTGCTGATACCTGGTGTTGCACGTAAGGTTTACAAAGGAAACAGTAAAGGATACATAATTTATAGGATTATTTTATAGTAGTCATCCAAAGAGCCGAGTTTGGAAGATTGCAGAAACTGTACACATACTAGACCCAAAGAATCCAGGTGAGGGCAAGATCCCAGGGCAATGCCCTACACAAGTCCAGCTAAAGACCTAGAGCCCGTCACAATGCCCCCCTGCCCCCGACCACAAGTCAAACCGGAGGCCAGGAGCCCACGACAAGCTCTCATGCAGGTCTGCACTGGGAAGGCCCAAAGGTCAGTGGTGGAAGCTAGAAACTCTGTGCCAGCAAGATGAAGGCTCTGTGCTGGCAGGCAGAGGGATCTGCACGGGAGCTAGAAGTAATGCTCAAAGCAGGAACCAGTGGTCCCCCAAAAGGTATCCCAGTGGTATTATATTGTGACCTTAGTTTGTTTACCTAATGAGTAATTATGTTCAACATTTTTTCATGTGGTCATTTGTCATCCGTATTTGCTTCTTAGTGAATAAGATTTCTCACCCATATTTTGTAGCTTTAAGTTTAGTTTTATTTTCTTATTGTATTTTGCTAATCTTATGTTACAAAATAATATACTTTACCAGATATATAATTTGAAAAATTTCTTTCCATCACATATCATCTCTTGCACTATCCTTTTAATAACAGTGCTTTTGAAAAGCAGGGGCTTTTCATGTTGGTGGTTTAATTTATTTTATTTAATTTCTTTATTTTCTTAAAGAATATGAAAATGATAGAGAAAAATAGCATTTTAAATAATATAAAATTTCACCAAAGTAATAGGAATTCTACAATGAATACTGTGTTGCACCATGTTATGCTCAAACTAGTCATCCAGGTTATCAGAGGTAAGTGTACAAGATTTGTTTAAAGAAAACAAGCATTTTTGTCATCTATCATTGTCATACCTAAGGACTACTTACCTAACTCAAGATTACAAGAATTCTTATATTTTTTTAAAATTCTTTTTCTTTAATTTTATTTATTTGTGTGTGTGTGTGTGTGTGTGTGTGTGTGTGGCCAGCTCAGCCCACCAGGGGGTGGGGCTGGCTGGCATGTGGTGCTGGGGGATTGAACCGCGGTCCCTGTGCTTTGGTAAGCTTGTTCTAAGTAGGTGCTTTAGACCACTGAGCCATCTCACCAGCCCCTACTTCTTATATTTTTGAGAATGTTAATAGTGTTCAATTTTATATTTAGGCCATGATCCCTTTTGATTTCATATTTTCTCACATATTGACATTGAGTATCAGTCTTTGTTGAAATTTGATCAATCATACACATGTAGTTTTATTTTTGAGCTTCATGAAGTTGCACTGATTTTTTTTTGTCTTCTTTGGTGCCAATACCACACTGTCTTGATTACTGTACCTTAATAATAAGTCTTGAAAACTGCTAAGCTTTCCAACATATTGTTATATTTATAAAATTCTTTGGCTATGTCGTGGATTTGGTTACCTTGGATTTCTCTGTGAATTTCAGATTTAGTTTATTCACTGACACAAAAGCTTTGTAGACTTTTGATTAAGTCTGTGTGGAGAATATCATTAAATTGGGCAGAACAGACATGAACAGTATTGAATCTTCTAATCAATGAGCAAAACATATTTCTTCATTTTTGAGATCTCTAATTTGTCTCACTGTACTTTTGTAGTGTGAAGTAATCATTGATGACATGACTTTTTAAGATTTATTCCTACATATTTCCCATTTTTATGCTATTATAAATTGTATTGTTCTCTAATTTCAGTTTCTGATTATTTGTTGCAAGAAATATAATTAGTTTTTTATTTGTCTTATTTTCAGCTACCATGTTAAAATTAGTTCTTTAAAAATTAGTTCTTATAGCTTCCATTTCCACTAATAAAGAAAAGTAGTCTTTTTTGGTTTTCCATGTGGATCCTTTTCATCTATGTTTGTTACCTCATTGGATTGGTTATTGATTAGAAGTAGCAAAAACAGACATATTTTTCTCCTTCCTGATTTTAGGAAAAGCATACAGTCATTCATTAAATATGATGTTGTCAGCTTTTCATAAATAATTATTTACCAGCTTGAAATGTCTTGTTCCTAATTTGTTAGGAACTGTTTATTTATTTTTTTAAAAATCTATTAGGAATACATGTTGGATTATATCAAATGGTTTTTCTGTATATTTAACATGATCATATAGTTTTGGGGTAGGAGAAAAATAATAAAGATAGGTAGAAAGGAGAAAAGTAACATTTATGTCTCTGTTATTGCTTTTTTAAAAAGAGTTTTATTATGTAATTCAGGCTGGCCTTTACTTCACTATGCAGTTCAGACTGGCCTCTGAGTCTTGGCAGTCTGCCTGTCTCAGGCCCCTGCGTGCTAGGATTATAGGTATGCACCACCATGCCCAGCTTTGTAATTACTGTGAAACTTTGGGGGCAGATTCATCCAACTCTGCACACTGACATGCTGCACTAGTCAATTTCCTATTACTAAGCAAAATATATAACATTTCCAACCTAGAGGGCTTATTCTTCAAAAGTTTATTTTGTCTCCCAATTTAAAGGGATTTATTCTATCGGTCAGGGGCTCCAGTACAGAGATAGCTTTGGAAAGCATGACAGCATAAAGCTCTTGAACTCATGGCAACTAAGAGAGATTAGAGTGGCAGCTAGAGAGACACTGGGAATGAGAATGTACTGTTCCAGATCATGGCTCAAGTGACCTATCTCCTCCAGCCTAATAGCACTTTCAGGCTATAAATTCATGAATGGATTAATCCAGCGATGAATACAGCACCCTCATGATCCAATCACCTTCAAAAAGCCACGCTTCTGAATGCATGAAGCTTTTGGAGGCCACTTTGTATCTAAATTGTAGCACTCCACTTCTGGCTGCCTAAGGCTCATGTTCAACGCATGTAGAATGCATTTAAAAGTCCATCTCCAGGAGTTGCTGAAGTCTTATCAGCTGCAATTCAGTGTCCAAGTCACGGTAAACTTAGCTGTGAGTCCTCGTAAGAATAGAAAAGAAAATTAACAGCTATTTCAAGAAGTCCCCAAAGAACTTCTTGGGATCAAAGAACTGATGGGATCAAAGCAGCTCAACAGAGTGTAGCCTCATGGGGTAGACTTGGGGTAGATAAAACCTTCACCCCAATGTTTCCTCTCTAAATACAGAGGAAGCTTCAGTCTGGCAGCATTTTTGCCCTCATACACCAAAGCTGAGTAATCAAGGATAGAAGCTGCTCCCTCCCATCTACCTATTTGCTCTCAGACTCCCACGAATAAATAGCCAGTGGCTACCTGTGATGGGACTCTGCAAAGTCAGATCCCAGGCACAGCAGAGTCAATGCTGGGAGCCTGTGACTTACTCCTTACTGTTAAGGCTGATGTCTAGATGTTCTCCCAAAGCCTCAATCATTCATAGGTGAGGCTTTTCAAAGGTGGCTGGATCTAGAGTGAGCAATACTGGGATTGATTCATGATAAAATGCTACAATTAAGAGTTTAAGTGCTACTGGAAGGTAAAACTGAGGGCTAGTAGCCTGGATACAATATAAGGGACAGCAGGAAGCTTGTTGCTTGGATGTAAGTCACAGGCTCCCAGCATTGACTCTGGTGTGCCTGGGATCTAACTTTGCAGACTCCCATCACAGGTAGCCAGCCCTCTTGTGCCACAGACTATTTTTCTTCTGTGATACCCCTCTGCTATGCCACCTTGTCCTAGAGCTAGCTGACTGTGAACTGAAACCTCTACAAACTGTGAGCTAAATAAGCCTTTTCTTTCTTAAGTTGTAGGTGTTGCTGATTTTGTCTCAGCAAGGAGAAAAGTAAGTGAGACACACAACAACCGGGACATTCATCAAGCAGACAGAGCTAATGCTAGTCAGATTTAAGTCTATACTCTGCACCCCAGTCTTCCTTGAGCCTATACCCAGCACTCACTGACATGCCCAGTTCTAGACCTGCCAGAGATTCTGTCGGACATCACCACCAGTTTCTAGATATAATTTAGACTGCTGGGGAGATAGCCTGATGATCTAAGTGCCTGCCTGGAAAGTGCAATGACCCAGGCTCAATCCCTGGTACTACATGCCATGCTGGTTATCAAAACTGGGTATGGTGCCACATGCATTCCTGTAATTCCTGAGACAGGAGAACCACTATGAGTCGGACCTATATACAAGACCCTGTACCAAATAAATAAAAGATTAAAAAGAAAGTTAATAAATAAATATAACTTAGACTGCTTAATGGTAATAAATTAAAAAGAAGTAAGAATACAAGTAAGAAGCCCAAAGGGAAAGGATTTTCATAGTCTTGGCAAAAAATGGGGGTTGTTCATAAAAAAATAGTGAAAGAGCATATGTAGGAAAGAGAATTATGTAAGAGATACATTTGAAATATGAATAAGGTTCTGGTGTTAGGCAGGATATACCAGATACATATGTCAATTCTGAAAGCACACAAAATTCAGAGGCTTTGGAATGAGCCAGGATCTAGACAGAGGTGTTTTAGCCCCTGTACAAATGAAAACTTAAAACACTTGCAACATTCAAAGGCACAAGATAAACATTATCATTCCAAAGGGTACACACAGCAGGGTACCAAGCATTGGGACCACAAGTCCAAAATTCAGCAGGGCAAACATTAAGTCCTTCAGTTCCATGTGGGACATCCGAAGCAATCTGTGATGAGTTGTGAGCTCCAAAGGCCTTACCTGGCTCCGCCCCTGTGGCACTCGAGGTGGTAACTCCCATGACATCTCTCCTAGGTCGGCTTTGCTCCCTCCTTGCAGTTTCCCTTAGATGATCCACATTCCTGGCTTTTCCAAACGTCTGAGGTTTCCACTGAATAGGCTTCTCACTCACAACTTCACACACCGCCCTCTCAGAGGCACACCGCCTGGCCTCCCAGCCTTCTTTGGAAATCAAGGTGGAAGCTTTCTGAGCCTCAGAACTCCTGCATTCTGAATGCGCTTAAAACCATCACTACATGGATGATGCCAAGGTCTGCTGCCAGCTGTAGCTGTAGCCAGGTTTCATTCTCTCTTGGCTGTAGGGGTCGAGTGCCTAGATTGCTGAGCCCTCTGACTCTGATTCCAAGGAATATCTTCTCCATGCTGGAACCTGGTGTGGCCTGCTGCTGCTGTTCTGGAACATGGAGCTCAGTGGCTTTCCCCTCAAGGCAAAGTCCCTGACCTTCCGCAGTTCTGCAGCTGCAGAGGGTGGAGACCTGCCTCCTCCTGTGATGCCCTCAGGCCGTCCTTTCCATTCTCTTGTTCCTTCTCAGCAATGGTGATCATCTCAGCTCTGTCTTTGCAGTCCACAGCGTTACTGGCACTTTCTTTTTGGCCAAACTCACAACATTTTGGCCCATCCTGCCCTTCATTCTTAACATAAATCTGGCTAAAAGCCCCCAGTAACAGTCATGCCACTGCCCCAATATTTGGCTGCTGTGAAATATCTTTTGCCAGACTGATTAGTCCCCCATGCTTAAACTCATTCTCAGGCAAAGTCTCTGGACATGAACAAAACACAGACAACTTTTCTGCAAAGTCAAAACACAAATGATTGAGTTTAACAATCAATGGAGTCCTTCTTCCCGGCAGAAACTTCCCCAGCCTGGTCTTTACAGGCAGGCTTTCTATCAGCCTCCTGGTCTTCTGAGCTCTGACCAGAATCTCCCAAACAGAACAACCAAAGCTGTTTCAGCACTTCACTTGTAGGCAATGTCTCTGAAACTTTCCTATCTCTTACCATAAGCCATTCCCAAAAG